CAGCCACAGCAGCTGGGCATTATGAAATGTGATCAAAGAATAAGGTAAATGTTTATGCAAGAATTTTATAAATATACTATAGTAAAAAATGTCATTAATGCCCCCTCAAAATCTATGTCCCTCACTTCAAACACACTTACCCAATTATTCTTGCCACTTTCTGAAACAGTTCTGGAAGTCCTCTTTCATGAGTGTCTTTATGAGCTGTAATAAAAAAAAATTCAATGAATGTTTCTGCCCTTCCAACAGAAAGACAGGCTCATAAAATCATGAGTATTTCCTGCCTACCTTATTCACCACACCTGGCACTGTTACTCTAGCCCTTACCCAAAGTCAAAATGATCATGAAAAGAAAATATTTTGAATCTATGCAGGACATTGAGGCAGCCATGATAGTGCAAAGACATTCATGAAAGAGGAGTTCCAGAACTGCTTCAGAAAGTGGTAAGAATGATGGAATAAGTGTGTTTGAAGTAAAGTGGAGTATTTTAAGAGGAATTAATAGCAATGTATATTTTACTATAATAAGTGAAAGAAAAAATAGTCACCATATTTTATGATCAAACCTAGAATTTATCTCTTGGGTTTTGTTTCATGATATCGCACTTCCTGAGGAGGGGGTCCCCCTGACTTTGTTCTGTGGCTGCTCTTCCACACTCCTCCAGGCATTCTGATAGTTGGGTTCCCTGAACCCAGATCCTCTTTCCCTTGTTGTCCCTTTCTTTCATTTGCATAGTTCTGATGACTTCTCGGATCCCACTCTGATAAAAGATGATGCAGACACTGCTGAGAGCCCCACCCTGCCCTTGTTTCCAATTCTGCTGACAGCCAGGTGAGACCCTAACTTGTTCAGGTCACAGCCATTCATCAGCAGAGTGCTCTGAATCAGATTTAGTATAAATCAACCAGTAATTGGTTTGGGGATGTGTGTGTGTGATCATTTCTTCCATTCTGGCTCATGAGATGAAAGGGGAAGGTGCTGGGGAGTTTCTCTTTCAGTATAAATAAATGTTAAAATATCAAAATGGTGACTGGGAAAATCTGACTGGCATGCTTTCCCACTTGTTCTGGGCTTGATGTTCTGCTTCGAAGGTGAGTGGTTTCTCCACCCCTCAGGCACAGAGCCAGCACCCTAGGGGCACAGGATTTCAAGATAAGATGAGCTTTGCTTCTGGACAGTGTTATCACTGCCCAGATCTAGCCTTCCAACTATTTTATTTTGTTTTAGATATTTTAATGGGAGAAAAATAAACTCCATAAAGACAGTGTGTTATTCTATCCTAATCTCTGGTTACATATTACAAATCTGAGGGCTGCTTCTCTGGTTCTGGTCTATGCTACTTCTACCTGCAGATAGCTGTGCCTTGTCCAACATTTAGCTGCCTCTGCTGTTTTTCTAAACACTGTATGGTTTCGGTTTGAAAAATACTTGTAAGATTTCTCTGTCTCTGGAGCCCAGAATATTGTCAGGATGCTTCTGGGCAAGTGTCATTGCTTTTCATTAGTCCTATCTGGACTTCACTGAGGCCTTTGAATCTGCAAACTGCCCTTTCTTCAGACAAGAAAAATCATATTTTATTATTTTCTTAATGATTAACTTCTCTTTAGTCCTTTTTTATTTTCTTTTTTTAAAGAATACAAAATAGTAATAGAAAAAAAACAGCATTAGAAACTATACAAAATTTCACCAAAGTTATAGGAATTGAGCAATGGCTGCTGCACTGCATGATGTTATCTTCAGATTAGTTGTTTAGGGGCCAGTGAGATAGCTCAGCAGACTAAGTGCCTGCTTAGGCAAGCACAGGGACTGGGATTCGATCCCCAGCACCACATGCTGCACTGGTTCCACCCCAGGGTGCACTCAGCTGGCCACCAAGTCTGGACATGGTGGCGCATGCCTGTGATCCCAGCGCTGGGGAGGTTGAAAACAGGAGAATCACTACAAGTCTGAGCTGAATAGTGAGACCTTGTACCAAATACATAAAAAAAGTTAGTTGTTCAGGTCACCAGATATAAATATGCAAGTTTGGTTTAAAGAAAAAGGAGAATGTTTTCTCTCCATGTGACTCTCCTTAGGCACACTCTACATCATCGATCACTTTCCTCTGTGGCCCCGTAATCTCCTTGCACAAAAAATTTGGGACATCACTGAGTTATAGGATGTTACAGTACAGGTTCTCTTATGTCCTGAGTCTTCACTGTCACTTAGAGAGAAAACATTTTCTCAGGCTCTCACAGAGAGCAAGTTGGTCAAGCAATGCCCATGATTCATCCACATGGCTGACACTGACAAAAGATTTACAAACTGCTGTACAGGGTTTCAGGGCAAATCCCGAGGGGATTTGACTGACCTTATCAGATACAAAAGTTACATCTTGTTATATAAGTCTTGCTTTATCTTGGTCTTAACCATCCAGCAGAAAAGTATAAAAACAAAGTATATAAGGTAAAGTCATACTAATATGCTGAGCTGTAAAAGGCTCAAGTCAACAACTAACATTGCCAGTTATGTGGATAACCCACCACTATAATGGACTACTGGACTATATTGAATTATTTTGCTGAATTCACGCACTAACAATATTTAAATGGCAATGGAATACCCATCTGTGACAAAACAAAATAAAAAAGGAGGATATAAATAAAGGACCATTTTGTAGTGAAAAAGATATATATCCGTATATACAAATTAGTTAGGATAGATATACAGCTACTTTCTCTTAGTTCAATTAGGAGAAATATTTGTACTAATAGTGTTTAGACAAGATATAATATCTGCATCTTCTAGTATGAATAACTACTACAAGGAAGACAATATGTGATGTATTAATTATGTAACTGTCCTACTAACCTGTTTTGAAACTGTCTCATTGCTATTTCTTTATCAATAAAATTAATTTAAAAAATAAAATAAATCTACAAGTCAAAAAAGAAAAAGAAAAAAAACGACAAAAAGTTGTAAGAAATTCAAACAAAAGTAATAAGAATAAAAAGAAAAAAATTAAGTATTAACTGCTTCTTTCAAAATATTTAGTTTTGGCCCAGGAGATAGCTCAGTGGAATAAATGCTTGCCCAGCAAGCACAAGGTCCTGAGTTTGATCCCTGGTACCAAGGGTAAAAGGTCCCCAAATCATTAGTCTTTTTTCTCCTTTAGTAGAACTCTGACTAATTACATGTGAGATTTTTGCGCACTGTCTACATGTATCTTATCTAGTTCTCTGTAAGTTCTGTTTTGGTATCGTTTTTCCAGAACTCTTTCATCTTCCCAAATTGAAATGCTGTATACACTAAACAATCTGCACCATTCCTGGAAATCACGCTGCTACCTTGTGTCTGTATGAATTTGAATATCCTAGAAAACTCCCATGAGTGGAATCCTGCAATCTCCATCCTCTTATATCCACTACATTTTACTTCGAACAATGCCTTCAAGGGTCACCTATATTCATCATTTCCTGTTAAGGTTAAATAATATTCTACAAATAGCACACATTTTCTGCATTCCTTCACATGCCAATGTACACTTGGGTTATTCTCACCATTTGATTATTGTAAAGCAGTGATGGTGAACCTGTGGCACATGTGCCACAGTGGGCTCTTCGCTGGCACCAAAAGCTCTAAAATGTTCACCATCACTGTTGTAATGAATGCTAGTATATATACACGTGTGTGTGTGTGTGTGTGTGTGTGTGTGTGTGTGTCTGCGTTCTTTGCTACAATTACTTTTGACATATAAGTGAAATTTCTGGATCATATTTTATGTTTCATTGTTTTAAGGAATTCTCATGCTGTTTTCCACAATGGCTGCAAGAATTTCAATTCCCACAAGCAAGCACAATGACTCCAGTTTCTCTACACTCCCTTGAAGACTTCTGATTTTCTGAGATTGTTGTGATTTGCCTGGATTTGTTCTATAATAGTCATCCTGATGGCTGTAAATCGCAGTTCATTGTGGTTTTAGTTCATGTTTTTTTAGTAATATGGCATCTTCAGTCCACTTGAAGTTCACCATTCTGACTGGTTCTCATTGGTTCTTCTATTTTAATTTTTTTCATGTAATCATTGATGATTTGTGTGGTCACTATATATAATGAATAGAACCATAGAGTAGGAAACAAAACACATGCATCCTATTTATTTATTTGCATTGAGTTTTTGAGACAGAGTCTCAGTATGTAGCTCAGGCTGGCTTTGAATTCATTACATAACCCAGGCTGGCCTCAAACTCAGGGCAATCTTGCTGCCTCAGCCTGCTGCATGCTGGGATTATAGGTGTGCACCACCATACCTAGCTGTATCATTTTCTAAAGTCTGGAAATCATTTATCTTCTTTTAGTTCCAGAAAATCTTTTTATAAAGCTAACTATGAGTTTAAAGGTTCTCTTTCCTCTTTTATTCTCTCTAGTAATGTGTATGAAATAATGATAAATATCATCTACTACTATTTCCTGGAAGCTGTTCTAGGATTTCTGTTTGACATCTCTCCCTAGGAACTGGGCTCCATTTGCTAAATGCTCACCTTCCATAACCAGGGGAGCTATTGGTATGCCTCCTTTGGACTCCTATGGGAATGTGGTGACCCTCAAACAGGTCAGCAAAGGAGCAAGCCTTTCTCTTCCTTTCCTTTCCCTCATGGGCTATTAGGCCTCTTCACCTCCTGTTACATTTTTTTTCTCCTGTCAGGGATGGGAACAATTAGACCCACCTGATCAGCTGGTGCCCTGTAGGCCTTCCAGAAGAGAAAGAAGCAGGAGTGCCTCATAGGTTAATACTGTACACAGAGGTACATAACCCACTTCCCTGGCAGGCCTTCAAGCATGAGCAATTCAAGAAGGCTCAGTTCCTCATATTACTTCTCCTCTTTTTATTAGAACATAGTGTGGGCATTCTGTTCCTGATAAAGGAAAATTGTGTGCTATGTTTGCAAAGGTCATTGCACAACTGAGACCTTCTGGTGACTTCAAAAGTTAACCTGCTGCTCTCTCTATTCATTCTTCAGTGACAAGGAGGTGGGACTGGGCCCTGGCCACTCGGGGAGTAGAAAAAAGGGTGAAAATATCACTGGCAGGAGGAGCAACGATCCATGGCCAGCACAGACGTTTCACTTTGGCCAGAGGGAATGGCACTGCTGGAACATGAAGGGGAGCCATCAGCCTCTACTGGGGGCTTCAGAGTGTATCTGCAGTATCACATGATGGGCAGTTTCATGTTTCCGCTCACCTGGACTATGGGTGTGAGGCACTTGGCCCGACATTATTTTGGGTGTTTTTCTAGGAGGTTAACATCCAGAGGAGTAAATTGGGAGATACAGAACACTCTCCATAAGGTGAGTGGGCCTCATCCAATCACTTAAAGGTTTAGATGGGATGAAGAGGCTGACTTATGCTGCCTGGAACCCTTCTCCCCTGTTGGTGGGAGTGTAGACTGGTGCAACCAGTATGGAAATCAGTGTGGAGATTCCTTGAAAAACTAGCACTAGAATTTGCATTTAAAATAGATATTCCCCTCTTTGTATCTTGCCCAAAGAATGAAAAGCATCATACTGCAGGAACATGTGCACAACCATGTTTATGGTACCACAGTTTGTAATGGCTAACTCTTGGAAACAACTGGAAGGTCCATCAACTGGTGAATGGGCAAAGAAGATGTGGTTCATTTTAATCCAGTGGAGTACTGCTTTGCCACAAAAGGGGTAACTCAAGACATTTCTCAGAAAATGATTGCACCTTGAGAGCATACTATTCAGTGAAATAAATCAGACACATACGTTTAAATATCACATTGTTTATTTGGAGTGAAAAATCCAAAGGGTAAATAAGGATCAAAATGTATAATACATATTGGAAATAGGAAGAAAATATCCAAGTAGAGAGGGGAACTACATGAGAGGAGAGCAGCAAAGGAAAGAAGGGATAAGTAAAAAAAAAAGAGAAAAGAAGAAAAATATGGAAACAAAGCTTTTCTAAATAGGGAGGGAAGAAGGGGTTAAATGGAGAGTAGGGAAATGAATAAAAAAGAATAAAATTATATCATGTACAGGTACAAATTCTCTATGATGAATGGGATCACTATACATATCTAAAATGCACCAGTAAAACATGATGAAAAATACTAAAAGCATACAACCACCACCCAGATTAACAAAATAGTCCTGGTTATTATTGTGTTTCACTGCTTTGGAAAATAAGGACATTTTCAGATTTGTTTGGTGGTACTAGGTACTGTTTCATTGTTACTTCTTTCTCAATAAAATTAATATATTAAAAAATCTCTCTTTTTTCAAGTGATTATATCTGGTATTTTGTTGTAATAAGGGATAACTGACTAATAAGCCACATTTGTTTTTTAATTCCTTTATCTGTTGGATACTTTTTTCTTGGTTTTAGATGCTATAAATGATGCTTCCACGAACACTCATGTACAAGGATTTTGTTCATGCGTATTTTTACTCGCCTTGGGTGCAGGGTCATATGAAAACTATGTTTAGCCATTCACATTATCACAATATGGCAGTATTTAAAAGTATTAGAAGGAATGAATATCTGCAATGGTAAGCAGGAACACTGAAGCAACGCCTATGATTTCGAAGCAGATTTATTTATGTCAATGGGCACTGATTGGAATCATTTCCCAAATATCAGGTCCTGATTTTTTGTGGTCTAGATATTATATGGGATAAGCAAACAGGAAGTACAGAGGCAGAATGACTTGTCAATTGGGGGTTGGTTTATGCAGTGTGCATCATCATAACCAGCTATGCATCACGGTGACCAGCTATTTCTAAGAGATAGGAGCAACTGGATCCGGAACAGCAACTGTTACCTGGGCAACCAAGAAACTGAAGTATACTGGCTGAAGGGGGCATTTTCTGCTATATTTTACCACTTTTTATTGATCTTCGCCGATCTTTGCTGGGTATATTATATGGGATATTCTGAGACCAGACCAAAATAGAATTCAGGCTTGTCTGTTCTGTAACGTTACTCTGACAAGATAGCATGTGAGTTAATTTGATCTAGGACAGTGTCCAACTTGTCTTGAATGCTCATCAAATCTTGGTCAAGTGTTTGATTGATTGTTCTGTTCTGTTGGGGACAATCCATAAAGTTTAAGGCAAAAATATCAAAAAACACACAGCTAGCAGGGCTGGGAAAGCAACCACTGGGGTAAGCAGCCTGAAAAGACACAAAAATCAAAGGGAATTGAAATGGAGCAATCCTGTGAACTGTGTCCTCAGGCTTTAGTCGCGAATGGACTGATCAGTGTGTGTTGTCTCTTCAGAGTGAACCTCAGAGGAGCTGTCCAGGTAAGTATTGTAGCTTATTTAAGATTGAATTTGTGAAATTTATGGAGGTATTAATATGTACCTTGGTTATATGTGTGTGCAGGAAAGTCTACAGATATAGCTTGTCTTTTAACCACATACAAGCTGTTTCTGTAGGGTTATGCTTTATTTTTCTGTAATCTATCTATATATCTTTACGTGGGGATAGCCTACTATAATGCATGAGGTCAGGGCCAGAGACACACATGCTGAAGCCTGAGCTGTCTGCAGGGGTTCAGGTGCCGGTGCTGTGGCTTGGGATTGCAGAACAAATGGTGGATCTGGCTTTGATTTTCTGGCAATACCAGGTAAAGATTTTCTGGCTGGGCTGATGTTTGAGTCAATAGGATCCCCCAGGGGGCTTAAGCCTCTGGACTGGATTATTGTGTTTTGTTGGTGATAGGTTTCCAAACAGCAATTTGATGTGCAGATCATTCCTGCAGGAGTTTTGGCCAAAATAGTTTTGTCCCGGTGACTACAGTATGTCTATCCTGTTGGACTTCATTCTTAACAGAGTTACTTCCACGCCTAACAGGGTGTACTCAACATCTGTCAAGGGGTCCATTTATTAGAACAGTTCACTCCTATACAGCATGCGGCACCTGGATAGTTAGGTCTTGGTCTAAGGTGAGCTTGTCAACTTTCTGTTTTTTTTTTAAATTAATTCAACAAGTATTTATTGCTGTTAATGTGCAATAAACTGTGTGTAACTGCTATGTGCCAGGTACTGTCATTAGGTATTGGGAATAGATACAGTGGTGAAGACAGGCCAGGTACCTGCTCTCATAGAGCTTTCATTCTAGTGTACACTCTAGCTTACATTTCAGTAGTAAGTAACATCATAATATCAAAATTAATAAAAGCACCACAATGAAAACAAATCATATTACCCTAACTGTTAAAAATGAAACCACATAATATTCAAAATTTTATAATGACATATAACAGATAAAATAACTTTATATGCTGTTAAAACAGATTTTAGCTCCCAGTTAATTCAACTTTCATAGCATATACTACAAGGTAGGAAAGAAAAACATAATCCATTTACATGCAAATAACCTTTGACACCTCTGGTCAAGTCAGTAACTTTCAAGTGATCCATTAATTTCTTTAAATGCACCTTTTTGCTGGCCAAATTGTTAGCTTTCTTGATTAGAATGACAGTGGCTATTAGAGCACAGAGGCAAAGGGGGAAGGCAGCCCTTAGAGGCTGTAATGGCTGATACACTGTGTCAACTTGAGAACTGAGAAGTTTAGCAGCTTAACTAAGTGACTAGGCAAGAGGCCAGAGTCCTCACTTTGCAAACATCCTGAGCTTGTGAAAGAGGAGAGCATGGAGATGGCCTAGGTAGGTACCTAGCACACAGTCTAAGGGAGGACAAGAAGCTTGATTTCCCTCTGTGCTTTTGCTATTTTCCACCACCTTGAATTGTTGCCATGGGCCATGGGCCACTCTGCCATGGAGCTAACAGATTATGGACTGAAACCTCCACAAACTGTGAGCTCAATCAGGCTTTTTGTCCTTAATTTTGGTCATCAGGTATTTTGTCTCAGCAATGAGAGAAAAATACTTAAGACAGAGGCCACTGGGCACTTCCTAAGATTGACAGATTAAATAAGTAGATAGAATCTAGAAGCTTTAAGAGAGTTTTGGGGCTTTTTTCTTATAACCAGTTTCTGTCAGTTGTTGTAGCAGAATTTTGTGTCCTTTCAGCAGGCAGCTTGAGTGTCATTAATCAGAGAAGTTTTCCCCAGATACAATGTCCATTAATCTCACAGGATCTCTTTTGGCAGAATTTCTTTTCAGTGAGGGTTCGTTCCAGTGGTGGGGACTTTTGACTTTAATCAGGCTTGGTCCCATCTAAAATATGGTAGTGTTCTTTAGTATTAAACAGAATCAGAAGGAGTTGCTGATGGTAGAGCAGGAGATTGTGGTGCAGCACACAGAATTTATGGTGCTGGAAGCTGACTAGCTTGGTATAAAAGAGATGTCCTCCTAGGCTGTAAGATTGTGCCTCGCGTAAGGGGCAAGTGACTGGAGTCCCAGTTGTCCCAGTGGTGATAACTTTTTAATAGAGGGCACATTTAAAGGCAGAGAGTTCTGTACCATTGTCTACAAGGAAAGTCCCGGGTGTTCCCTCAATTTTTGCAATGACCATTGGTTCTCGAGGGCCCAATTTGATACAGCTCAGCCTGCCCTATCTTTCTAGGCTTGACAGGGCACAACTCATTTGTCAGGGCTGACAGCCCAGTTTTTCTTCACCCAGAATGTGGAATTCAGAAGGAATTGTTGACAGTTATCTTGGGTGGGTATTAGAGGATGTCATCTGGTCAGGGTAAGTGAGTAAGCAGAAGGCTCTAGAGGCTGGGCATCTGAGGTCGAATGCAAGCAATGGCTAGCAAGAATGAGTTCAATTGTCTGGAAATAGATGTACAGATGGAGCAGCCTACTGCTTCCATTGTCCATTTCATTCATGCACACATTCACTCAGCAGGCACTCAGAGGTTAAATGTTCAACACCCCTTCCCTTGAGGGTAACCTTAATTAACAGAGTTGATCAAGCTCTCTTCTGCTTGAATTGAATGGGACTGACAGACTAAATGGTGTGACCCTGGGGAGATCTTACTGGAATCAGGTAGACAGGGAGGCAGGCAGACAGACAGACAGGCAGGCAGGCAGGCAGGCAGACAGACAGACAGACAGACAGACAGACAGACAGACAGACACAGACAGACACAGACAGACACAGACAGACAGACAGACAGACAGACAGATTACATCCTCCCTTTTGTGTCTAATGTGAGCTGCTTGAGCAGGGAGCCAGGAATTCTCTAGACCTCTGTGAGTACATGAACAATCTCGACTCTTATATCCGGTGGTCTAGGGTTTATATAAGATAAGCAAGCAGGAAATACAGAGGCACAATGACTTGTCAATTAGGGATTGGATTATACAAACTACATCATAGTGACCAGCTATTTTTTTTTCCAAAGACAAATTTTATTGAGCCCCTCAGCTCTAGTTCTCTTTCTCCTACAGTGTCTGGGTTCCACAGA